GGGTGTGGGGGGGGAAAGCGGCAATATTTGTAAAAACGCTGCACTCGTCTCTCCGTGCTGGGAGGGCTCTTTGGAGAGATCTTAGGAGCCTTTCCGAGGGGCTGATATAGATATAAGGACATTTCTACATCGCGTCACGTGACATAATTACCACTAGAATCAATCAAGATGAATTGCACGTCAGCACACGGTGGGGATTTTTTCTTAGTTGATCCTGTCCAAACCCTCTTGTGCAATAGATGGATCTTGTTCAATGCATTGAAGCCTCCTGGTTGCTTGCAATCGCAAAAAGGAAGACATGACTGAGTTTGACGATTGCAATCACGGCACATCCAACATGTATCTGCCAGGGTGCGCTTATTACGTCTCACCCTCAGATTTCTCGACGAAACCCTCTTTTTTGTCGCAATCGTCGTCCTGTCAAATGACTTTTCCTTATTCTTCTAATTTACCTCATGTCCAACCTGTGCGTGAAGTAGCATTCAGGGAATACGGATTAGAGCGCAGCAAATGGCAGTATAGGGGCAGTTATGCTCCTTATTACTCAGCTGAAGAGGTGATGCACAGAGACTTTCTGCAGCCTGCGAACAGGAGGACGGAAATGTTATTCAAAACGGACCCTGTCTGCGGCCACCACGGACCGTCTCCCGCTGCCTCCAACTTCTACAGCTCGGTGGGGAGGAACGGCATCCTGCCGCAAGGCTTCGACCAGTTTTACGAGACAGCCCCCGGACCCCCGTACCAGCAACACTCCGAGGGCGAGGGGGACGCGGACAAGGGCGACTTGAAAGCCCAGAACAGCACTTGCAGTAAAACACCTTCCAGCCAAGAGAAGAAAGTGACACCAGCAAACAGCGCCGATTCCCCTTCTGGTGAGGCTGTTGCAGAGAAGAGCAACAGTTCAGGTAGGTATCAGTAGTAAATTGGGGGCAAGAGTACAAGGCCAACACTTTGTCAAGCCGCATTTTATGTGCAATTTTATAAGCATCCAAAGGATTTTATATATCCTATAAGATTTCCTTTACCGTTGTAAAGCGTGTTTACGATAGGAAACCAATTTAGGTGGGCTTAAGGTATTCTTGGAAGAGGATATTAATTGTTATTAAATTGTTGATTTGGCGGGGGGAGACGCGGAGATTTCACAGGTAGTGCTCGGAGCTGCCTTCGATTTAAGGCGTAAGATCTTCGTCTGTTTGGGGCGGGGGGGTGTGGGTGAGAGGAGTTTGAAAAACTTGGAATTTTTCCAGCCCATTTAAATATCTCTCTGTATTGCACGAAGTGCTCTCTTTTAAGGAGAAGTTAGGAAATACTCGCTTTTTCGCTAAGTCGCCCGGAGAGCAAAAGCTCCGGGAATATTTTTCTGCACTGCTAGAGGGCTGCTTTGCAGGCAATGGGAAATTGTCAAAGTCTCAGCTCTCTTCCTAGCTGAGCATGTTCGTAGCAGCAGCATAAATAAGTTTCTTGTCTCTTGAATTTCAGCAATTCCCCAGCGATCAAGGAAAAAAAGGTGTCCCTATACCAAATATCAGATAAGAGAACTGGAACGGGAGTTTTTCTTCAACGTGTACATAAACAAAGAGAAAAGACTGCAGTTGTCCAGAATGCTCAACCTCACTGATCGGCAAGTTAAAATCTGGTTCCAGAATCGAAGGATGAAAGAAAAGAAACTAAACAGAGATCGTCTCCAATATTTCACTGGGAATCCCTTGTTTTGAAAAGAAAAGGAAAGGAAACAAATTTCAAATATAAAATAATAAAAAAAGTCAGAGCAAGAGAAAATGAAGAAAGGAGAAAAACAAAGAATGTCTCGGTCTCTCCGACCTCCCATCTGAATGCGAAAGTAAATTGGTTTACATGACACATCCACCCTGCGGAACTCAAAGTTTCATTTTCATGTGCAACTCCACACACTGAATGGCCACTGGAGATTTCGGGGCTTGGCGGAGCAGATTCCTGATAAGGGGAAGCTAGGGTAAATCCAGCTGTCCACTCTCAAGTGTTTCTCGCCAAAGGTGCTTTTTTCCCTCTCCCACAGTACCAGCAATGGACCTGCAGTGTGTCTGGTAGTTTTTGCTTACAATTCATTGAGTTCGGGGGGCTCTGTTATTGTTACTTTTTAGCTAGGCTAACACTTTCCTCCCTTTAAGTGAATGCGGTTTATTTAAGAAATGGTAAATGTACGTTCACTATATATAAAATATATATATATGTTTCTATTGTCATCCAAAAAGCATGGGCCACTGTCTTTTTCATGTGAATAAATGGTTTCTAGTAAAGTTAAGGTTATAACTTCCGTGCACTGTATGGATTTCCATCTCCGAAGGGTCTTAACGTTTCCCGGGATAGAGCCAAGTTCAGTTAAATAATAGCAGGAGAAAGTCTAGTCGGGTTAATTTAAATGCATTTTAAATAAGTAATAGTTTAGATGTCTAATTATGCCTTTGTAGGTATGTGTAGCTTTCCTTGGTCACTGTGAAGCAAAGCCAACATGGCTGTCTGCAGACCATCTTTTCTGATGGCTCTACAATTACTATAAACAACGAAAAAGGCACTTTTTTTTTTTTTTAAACTGATCAGGCTCCTAGTAAACCCAGAACCCCCAACACCAATGACTGTTTACTCGTTAGTGAAGAGCAAGTCAGAAAGACTGAAGGCTCGCAGCTAGTCAGGCAAGAGGGAGCTATAAACAATTGGCACTAGCGGAGGGGAAAAAAAAAGAGAGAGAGAGAGAGAAGGG